CCTCTCACCGCCCCTGAGCCTCTGACCTGTACCCCAGTTCTGTATGTACAAATAAATAAATCTTTAAAAAAAAATAATAATCAGAGAGATGAAGAAAAGGGGCTCCAAAATTTAAAATTCATCTCTCAAAAAATAAAATTATGAGACCTAGATTTAAAAATACAGTAGAAGGGTTGAAATTAAATTTTTTTTTTTGAAATAACAAAAGATAGATATTAGGAGAGAAAAAATACTGTCTCAGGGAACGTTGCCATCACATCCAGCCAAACCATCAGACAAGTGTAAAGAAGAAAAAGGACATTTCCAGAAGAAAGTACTTAAGAATGTTCCTCCACACACTATTTCTTAGGACACTACTGGAAAATGTGACTCATCAAAACAAGGAGAGGATTGGGGGTGGGTCAGGAAAGAAAAAGGAGGAAATAAAAGGAGAGCCTAGTGAGGCTGACGTCAAAGAAATCCCCAGAAGGATGAATCAGAGGAGATATAGGAGCATGTCAAAAAAGAAGACATTCAAAGAAAGTGTAAGAACTGATAGCATGTTGGAAACTGTTGGGAAAACATGTTAATAAGTTTGTGACAAACACTTTGAAAAAATAATGACAGACACATAGAAAACTAAGTGCATGAAAGAAAAAGAAAAAGTAAAAAGAAGTACTTATGAAATTCCACTTGCTGACCAGTAAATATTTAAATAATAATATGATGCCAAATTATTACATAATCATAATGTATCACAGCATCATAACAATAATATAAATAGCAACTTGTAATAAAATTATATTGAGAGGGTAGCTGGAGGTAGAAAGTTAAAGAGGCACATCCTCAATTACCATAATAGAAAATCAACAATATTGTCTAACATTCTAACATTGATGAACAAACAAAATAGCAGTATAAGCATGCTTTTTTTTTTTTTTTAAGTATGAAGGATCATATAAGAAGAAATAGTTAAAAGGATTAAAGTTGGTTGCCAAAGGAACAGTCCTAGGGGTGGAGAGAGGTGCTGTTACTTCATTGTATGTTGTTATTTCATTGCAAGCTGACATATGTACGTATATGCATGCATTCGTTTAAGTAAATTAAGTCAATTTTTAAAAATAGCAGTTAAGAATTGAAAACAGGTTTAACCAGATCCCTTCATCTTTTCCAGGTGAATCTGTCTCATCCTTCAGGCTCATCCTTTCCTGCCCTCCCTTCAGCCCTTAACGTACATACCCACTGCACCCACATTTCCTACACTGTTCATCTTTTAATGCCACATTGTTTTTGTTTACTAAATCACTTCCTTCCCTTTCTATACTGTGAATTCCCTGAGGAAAGAAACTACAACATATTGTTTACCACTGCAATTCCAGCCCTAGGCAGTACAAGGATTAGGGAAAAACTAAACATGCTTACCTTTTGCTCTGTCCACAAAGTCTCTCTTAGTGTGGGAAATAAACTGATTTGCTATTGCCTTCTTAACTTCTTCCATTGAAGCATCAATTTTCCAAGGGAAGTAGTTCTTGATTGATGGCGATTGACCCCGAGGTAGTGTCCAGAGAAAGCAATCCTATGACACACACACAATTTTCAAGAAAGTCCACTGGGCTTCAAGTATTGGAATGAAGGAAATGAGAGTTTGTGTGTACATGTGCTTTTGAGTCCTTTACACCAGCAACCACAATACAGTTTTGATAGGCACAGGAGCCTGTCAACAAGTGTCATTGTTTACCCAACTGGAATGCAGGCACCCAGTCATTTCTTTGACTTTTACCTTGGGCCCCTAAAAATATGCTGGCAAGGCCCTCCCTGGTGGCGCAGTGGGTTAAAGCACAGCACTGAGAATCTAAAGCCGCTTCCGCATGAGTTCGATTCCCGCCTGCCCAGGAGGTGACCACATGGCGTGGCAGACCTCTCCTGACCCGCCCGCTGCTCCCCTCAGCAGTGTACTTCGTTGATCTGCCTGTTCTGTTCCCCGCTCTGTCTCTGGTGAAGCCTCTTACCGCCCCTGAGCCTCTGGCCTGTACCCCAGTTCTGTATGTACAAATAAATAAATCTTTAAAAAAAAAATATGCTGGCAAATGTTAGAGCTGTGCCTGTAACCAACATCTCTTCCAGACAAGACCACCTGAATTATAATTCTGGCCAAGGATCATATTGTCCTTTCTTCCCCTTCAGAGCCCTGTCCTTAGACATCAACCTTACTGCAGAAGTCTCATCAGCAGCCTGTAGGAATCGGGAGGGTGGGACCTCTCTCCTCTTCACCTCCAAAGAGACTATAATACCTGACACCCCCACCACCTCTTTCCATCTTCCCTTTTGCTTGACTTTGCTTCCTACTTCCAATTTTCCTGAGAAAATTGAAACCACCTGACGAGAGCCTCCATCGCCTGCCATTATACTTCGATGGGATTGAGGGGGGCTGAGGTGCTCTTAGAGGGCTCAACTCGAGCCCATGACCTTCAAGCGCTCCAGCAAATCACCTCACAATTCTTACTTCTCTTTCACAGCTTCTTTCCCTCTACTGGGTCATTGCCATCAATATATTGCCATCTTAAAAAGAAAACATTCTCTTCACTCTAAATCCCTCTCTAATTACTCCTCCCTTGCTCTTTACACTGGAATTCCTCTCTAATTACAAGCACTCACTGTCACAAATTTGCCTTTGAGGTCTCTATTACTTTCAAGTTCCCCCTCCATCCTTTTCTTTCCCTTCTAATCTCTCTATTGACGAAATTAAGCTTTTTGATGTGTAGAAATGTCCATAGTCTGGATTTTATTGATTACGTACTCACTGTGCCATGTGCCCTGTACTTCTTGCTTGTTGGAAGCTAGATCCAAAGACTGACGTAAACTCACTGGAGAACCCACTGTCAGGACTAGAGGTGGTATTTAGAAAGATTGTAGTAGGAGATATTGTAGTTATTCCTCTTGTGTGACTGTGTTAGTAGCTATTGAAACTCGATGCCTACATTAATTGGGTCAAAGTGTGATATTCTATCATTGCTTTCTTAATTTTTTTTTTTTTTTAGAATATCTTTATGAAGAGATATATCCTCTTAACTACAGCTTGGTTCTCTAGTGGCATCATTCATATAGAAAAGGCAGGCAGGAAACAGTTTTTCCTTTATCAGTTTTAAGGATAGTAATGGGCTTCCTACTATTCTCTGAGTGTCCCAACTTCTCTAACAGAACTCAAACAGATTTACACATATTTGATGTGTTTCAATATATTGCATATATTATCCTATTGAAGTTCAAATTATCTTACCTCAGCCTAGCAGGCACCTCTTCAATTCTGACATGATTGTAGTAGTGTTTGATAAGCTTTAAAAATGTTTCTATTCTAGATAAAGTCAGTGGAATGATAAAAGTCCTGGTGGTTTGAGAATATATAGTACCAAGTGCAACTATTTGTACATAGCTGTTCATAGCAACATTATTCATAATAGCCACAATGCAGAAACAACCAAAATATCCATTATCAGTGAACAAATTGTAGTATGTGCATATAATAGAATATTACTCAATTGTAAAAAGGAATGATGTACTAATGAAGAATACATTAGTCTTTATCCTAAGTGAACATTATCCTAAGTGGAAGAAGTTAGATACAATAGGTCACATCTTGTCTGATTCTACATATAAAATGCCCAAAATGTGCCACCTATACAGATAGAAAGCAGATTGGTAATTGCCAGCCAATAAGAGAGGGAGTGGGGAATAATTTTTTAATGGGTATGGTGTTTCCTTCTGGGATAATGAAAGTGTTTTGAATGAGATAGAGGTGGTTGGACAATATTATAAATATACTATTGCCACTGAACCATTCATATTAAAATAATTATTTGTGTGAATTTCACTTTCAATTTTTTTTTTAATTTAGGGGGTAGAGAAAAGTAGACTGACATAGATGTGAAAGAGTTGCCCAGAAATAGGGTCATAAGGATCATACTGTAGAAGATGAAAGACTTTTTGTATAATGTATAGATTAAAAAAAATTCATTCATATGGATTTTTGATACTCTATTAAATTCAACAGGTGTGTAGATAATATCTTACTTGAATGTAGTGAGATTTGTGGTTCTTGATTCCTCTTGAAGTCCCAGGTTTGATCAAATCTTCTTTAGAATATGATTTCCAAACATACTCATCATTGTACTGTGTCTGATTGGGAATAGGATCGCTAAGGGAGTATGTATATCCTAATCTTCTGATACTTTTTGGACTACAAGAAAAGACAGTGGAAATTAAAGGGTTAAAATACCAAGTCTTGGAACTCTACACGTGTCAAAAGATTTTACTCATTACAGCTTTCTAAAGATTGGCTATCTTGAAACAATGTCAGAATTAAGTTAATTTCCAGGTTCCCCTGAGAAGAAGCAATCCAGTATTTTAGGATGGCTCTTAACCAAAGTATGGGAGGCATTAAATGAGATTTAAAAGAGCAGCAATCTGAAATATATTACATTTTTAATATTTAAAGTACTAAGTCCATTCCTGAACAAAGAATACTTTAGTGTCAATGGTAGTAAAATGGAAAATATTCTTTCTTTAGAAATATTCCAGTTAATAAAAAGAGTAAATAAAAATATTAGCACATCACTGGTTTGCAAAATCCTAAGGTAATGACCAGTAGCTGCTAACCATAGCCCAGATTGAGACCACCAGATGTTAAGTGCCGTGGGTAAACATTTATACCATCATCTACTAAATGTTTTTGCCAAAATTCCCAACCTGAGTTGAAATCTCAGATTACATTAAACACACAAAAAGAGGAAAATCAATATAACACGTCAACCTAATTTAGATTCCGTTTTGAATTTAGTTGCTTGTTTTTAATTATGAGATGATTGGGGGACTTGCTAGAGAATGGCTATTTGATATCAGGAAATGCTTTTTTATTTGAGACAGTAGCACTGGTATATGTATTATTAGGATGTCCTTATTTTTTAGAGATACTGGAATTTGCTCCAATAATATGTAGTGGGAAGGCTGCATGGAAGTTATCCATGAAATGCCTGTAGGTTGTCAATTTTTAAAGTGGGTTGATAACTGGATATTCATTGTATAATGTATGGACACAGTATTTCATGTTGAATTTTTTTTTAAAGATTTTTATTTATGTATACAGAACTGGGGTACAGGCTAGAGGTGCAGGGGCAGTGAGAGGATTCACCAGAGACAGAGTAGGGAGCACAACAGGCGGACTGATGGACTACACTGCTGAGGGGAACAGCGGGCAGGTCAGGAGAGGTCTGCCGCGCCATGTGGGTCACCTCCGGGGCAAGGATCAAACTCATGCTGAAGTGGCTTCAGCTTCTTAGTGCTGTGCTTTAACCCGCTGCACCACCAGGGAGGGTCCTGAGTTATTTTTTGTTTTTTGTTTTTTGTTTTTATTTTTTTAAGAGAAACCAACATCTAGAGTGTGGGATATATCTAGGTGATGGACCATTTTACTTGTTATTCAGACGTGAAGGGTGGTCAAGTGGAACTATGGTCCTAAATTAACATGTGGTTATCAGAACCACACGATTTCCCAAGAAGAACAAGCACAAGTCATTTTAACAGAATCCATTTTCAGACCTCCATTTCTCAGCACATTATTTCCCGACAGGCATCTGCTTAGGAGCAAACCTGCACATCTGTCTATGTGGGTCCCTTCTCTCCCTTCTCCAGTTCACACAGGGTTTCACTAAGGTGCATTTCACGCCAAAGTGTGAGCCCCCACCTTCTGGAGGAGTGCCCAATAGAGGGAACCTTTCTCACAGTGATTTCAGGCAAGCTGCCTTGTAACCCAAATCCCACACAAGTCCCTTGGACTTGCCATGCTGGGTAAGTGGCTTATTTCTGAGTATGCAAAGCCAGGCACCACAGTGAGGGACTGTGTGGGGTGTTCTCACTGTCGTTACCACAGAAGTCCCACCTTATCTTAGGTTTTGCCTGCCACTGCTTCCATTACTCTGGTCAACCATGGTGTGACTATTATATACACTAGGTTATTTTGGGGAGGAACATATTGACATAACTTGTTATGACCTATTTTACAATTATTGTTAACTTCTTACTGTGCCTAATTTATAAATTAAACTTTGTTATTGTGTGGACGATTGTCTGTTGGAGATGCCTCTGCTCTGAGAACAATAAAGAACAGCTACAGAAGCCTGGAGACAGTGGAAGATGTTTGCTGTGAGCAAGCCTGTGGTCAAATTACATGGAGAAGCCTGGGGCCAAGTCTAACACCTCTTTTCATCTTCCTGTGTCAACTGGCTATAGGAAGGAACCAGAAATGAGCAGCTGGCCACATCGCCTGCCCCTCACATCTCAGGAGCACTCTATAGCATAAAAAATAATATAGGCCCTCCCTGGTGGCGAAGCGGGTTAAAGCACAGCACTGAGAAACTAAAGCCGCTTCCGCATGAGTTCAATCCCCGCCTGCCCCGGAGGTGACCACATGGTGTGGCAGACCTCTCTTGACCCACCCGCTGCTCCCCTCAGCAGTGTATTTCGTCGATCTGCCTGTTCTGTTCCCTACTCTGTCTCTGGTGAAGCTTCTCACCGCCCCTGAGCCTCTGGCCTGTACCCCAGTTCTGTATGCACAAATAAATAAATCTTTAAAATAAATAAATAAATAATATATATCTATCTAAGCCTTGATGCTTGCTTTTTCCCCCACATGGATAATATCTTACTGTAGAATAAGAGATCATTTAATATTACACACAGCATCCCCCTGTATCATGAATGAAGAATGCAAACAGATGTTTGCTTTATCGGTTACAGAATTACCTGTCCTTACTGTGCATGTAGCCCAGCTGTACAAATGGTGATATAAACCAGAACCAAACCTTTGAAGGATGAGTCTGGCACTCTGAGAAATTCTGTCTCCCTGAATTTGCTCGGAATAACTTCTTTGAAAACTTTTTTTGAATTTCTTCACAATAGTGAATATTTCCATCGACAACAGCTATGTATATTTAAGAAAGTTATAGGATATATAAGGTCTGGTACCCTCCACTGTTTCAGGCCTCCACTGGGGGCTTCCAAGGTATCCTCCCTGGTTAGGAGGAGACTACTATACATTGTGGGATGATGTGACTGAGGCAATGGTTGGTTTTCCATCTCGTAACAATTACAGAGTGCACATCCTTCTTTAGCTAGAGACCTGGGGTGGCGGGTTGGGGTGGGGGTGGGGGGAGAGAGCAGAGAATATATAATGGCTAAAATGATCCTTACCCCCATACATTTAAAGTTAAGCATTTTTCATTTTTTTTTAATTAAAACACTTTTTAAATGCCTAGGACATGTCATTCACTGGAAAGAAAAATACCTGAGTCAATGAAGCCACACAAAGTGGCATTGCAGGCTATTCTAAAGCACCTGAAATTTAAGACTATACAGTTTTTAAAGATCTTGGTATAAAACTGGTGATAGAAATCTTGTGATTTTTTTTTCATATTTTGTAGTTATTAATCAATAGGTATTCAAATCTTTTTAAAAATCTACACAGATTATAAAATACTCCAGTTCAGCCAGCCCTCATTTTATTTTACCTATGAAATATTTAGTCAAACATGAAAAAATATACTAGATTTTTAGAGCAATTAATTTTTACCTTATATAACTAAATTTCATTAAATGCATAGTAAGTGTTTGATTTTGTGTATATAATACTAAATGAAATTGCTTCTGATTTTTATATGAAACAATTAAATTATTCTCTAAAGTCAGGTATCAGAGTTTCACATGAGGACATTTAACTAAGGAACTTCATCTTGAGTCCTTCCTGGTGGCACAGGGGTTTAAGTCAGCCCTGTCAAGCTATCTGCAGAAACTGCAGCATGAGTTTGATCCTCAGCCAGAGGGCTAACCCACATGGCAAGGCAGACCTCTTCTGTCTTGCCCACTGCTACCATCGGCAGTATATTTCAGTTATTCTGCCTGTTCTGGTCCCCACACTAAAGTCTCTGGTGAATCCTCTCACTACTGCCCCCCCTCACACAGCTCTGACCTATATCCCAGTTCTTGTATGAATAAATAAAAATAAATCTTTAAAAATAAGGAACTTCATTTTTTTTCATTACATTCCTCACTTCACAGACAGAACACACATTTTTTTTTTAAGATTTATTTATTTATTCATACAGAACTGGGGTACAGGCCAGAGATGCAGAGGGTGAGAGGATTCACCAGAGACAGAGTGGTGAGCAGAACAGGCAGACTCATGAAATACACTGCTGAGGAGAGCAGTGGGCAGGTCAGGAGAGGTCTGCCACACCATGTGGATCTCCTCCGGGGCAGGCAGGAATCGAACTCATGCTGAAGTGGCTTAAGCTTCTTAGTGCTGTGCTTTAACCCTCTGTGCCACCAGGGAGGGCCCCAGAACACACATTTTAACTCTAACATCTCATTGCATTCTTTTTATTACTTGGACATAATAAATTTTATTAAACCTGACTCTTTACACTTCCTACTTTTAGGAATCTTTCCTAAAGTATGCATTGTATAAATTATTAGTAGCTTTCATAATGTTCTACAAAACATATATAACATTTATTTGAACTTGAAGCATGGTCATATTTTGTGACAGGAAGTCAATCTAACACTACTTGTTGGTTTGACAACAGAAACTAATTTTATTACTAGGTAAACATGGTGCAAATTGTACGAGTTAAATCTTCTGCTCCAAGGTGCTGATAAAAATATATTTAAAGTATTTTAGATGAGATCACTTTGTCAAAAGTAAGATTGGATTGGAAAACATTTATTGAAATTAATGTTCCTATTTTCCTAAGTCCTTTTTGGTTATATAATATTAAACTAGTTTCCCCCAAGTGAAAGTATAACAGATGTAATTTAATAGTCATTTGTTAAGATGTGCCTTTTCAGTATACGTCTCAGAAAATGAGATAGGGAATAACTCAATAACTGGATGATAAATCATCTAATTATTTGCTTTAATAAAATTTGAAGAAGCACCCAAGTTGTCAGCAGATCAGTTATTGAAAATCACCTTGTAACAACTTAGAAAGAGCTCAAAGTGTTGAGTGACAATGTTACACAAAAGCTCTGTTCATTCACATCTACCTATCTATGTGAGGAAGGCCTCTCAATGCTAGCAGCTATACATTGAAAAGAAAAAAGAAAAAATTGAGCAAAACCCCCTTATACTGAATGTGGTCTAATTCCAAAAACAATGATGTTCAAAACAGTGTATGGATCTATACACTGAACTAATTGACAACAAAACAGCCCCACTTATCTCATTAAGATGTTTCTGAAAATTTTCCTTTTGTCTTTTATAGTTATTTACATTTGTGATGTAATTGCTTTGACCAATTGTGTACTAAAAATAATTGTGATAGCTCAATACTTAGGGTCATATAACATGTTTAAAAATTAATTTCATTTAATGTACTAAAACCCTTGTAAAGAAGTACAATGGAATGATCAATAAATTGCTTTCAAACATGAACATATTACCTGAGGGTAAAATTCAACTGAGGAAGTGGTATGGGAATAGGAGTTCAAGAAGCACTAGGAATGAAATAAATTATCTATTAAAAGGTGTGTTGTGTATTTTTTTAGAGGATCATTGTGAGTTATCAATTTGGTCACGTGTTTAAATAATCCATTAGTTTTATTTAAAGAAATGACTCAATAGTCTTATCTTAAAATATTACATTTAAGGTAGAATGGCAGTTTTATCTCTTGCAACTATTTTAAAACTCTCCTGTGAAGTTAAAAAAAAATGTGAATTTACAGACCACTGTAAATTCACCCTATGTGTTTTTGGCTTTCAGCCCAAAGGTTTCTTCTTTAGATAGTGTTTCTGTCTGGGAAGCTGGTATAATCATTACTGTCAGATGATATATCTCCTGGTTAAGGGATACAATGCAACTCAGCGGGACAGCCAATAATTTGGAAATGAGAAGCCTTGCAGCCCTACACTTTTTTGGAAATCTGTCATATATTATACAGGGGGCGAAATGAATGAAATGTTTTAAATAAGTCTTTTGTGCTTGTCACTGCAGTGCTTTCATTCTGTCCCCTGAGTCCCCACCACAAGCACGTGCCATCATTTCCACTTCACCAGCCATAAAGCGCTCGCCTTGCTACTTGCCTAAGGCACAGAGATGACACAGGTTAAAGCAGAGAGCTGAGGTTAGAACCCACCCTTGTCTGACTCTGCAGCCACCATCTCACCAATACTTCATCTGACTTCTCAATAACTTGATCTTCTAAGGTGAAAAGATCCTCTTTGTTGGAAACAATTCACAGAGTAAACACAGGTTAGTGAAGTTTCCCCACACTGATTTCCCGTCACAACTGAGCCAATAGGTGATCTGGAGAAGTTACAAGTCAGGTGATCTGGAGAAGTTACAAGCCTAGTTATGTTAGCAAACAATGAATGGAGATGTGGAGGTAAGGATAGGCGGGTATGGTGCCTCCTTTAAGCTTCCAAGGCTAGTGTTGATGATGGAAATGATGATATGCATTCATTCAATTGTCATTAACTGCCTATTGCTATATATATCAGGTAACGGGTTCAATTCATACAGTGTTTTAGGCAGTGCAATTTATTAATATATATACTGAAACTATTATAAAGCATGATGCATAGTAACTTTATGGAAACTCCACATTAATTTTCTTAATTTTCCTGTAGGAGGCTGGATACCATTGCAAGGGCAGGAGGAGGGGATCTCTCTCTGATGCTTGGAGGAGAGCTGCACATGCCATAGATCCTAATTGAATGCATTTTCTATAAGTTTTCTTTGATTATTTTTTATTGGTTTTGGATTCTGAATACTGGAATACAGGTGAACAGATGATAGTGTGTAAATCAACCTGACTCAAATAAACATCTACCGAATTAAGGCTGGCACTGCTCCTGTCTTGGGTGTGAATTCAGTCTTCATCGTGGTGGCATAGGAGTCCCAGTTGGTATCACCTGCTAAAGCATAATAGAACAGTTTTAAATGTGGCAAACCAATACAATGTGATCAAATGTTTTAATAATTAAAATGATTTTGCCAGAGAAAACATTTTTGATCAGATTTCGAGTCTAAAGGAATAAAGGCCAGCTTATGGCTTCTATTAGGAGAGAAGAGAAGCTCAATTCAATTATCTCAATTTCCTCCCTTTATAAAAGTAGGTCTCTTGTTTTTCTCAAGAATTCACACATGCTTTTTTTCTTTAAAAATATCATTCAAGGCCCTCCCTGGTGGCGCAGCGGGTTAAAGCACTGCACTGAGAAACTAAGGCCACTTCCGCATGAGTTCGATCCCCGCTTGCCCCGGAGGTGACCACATGGCGCGGCAGACCTCTCCTGGCCCACCCGCTGCTCCCCTCAGCAGTGTACTTCATCAATCTGCCTGTTCTGCTTCCCGCTCTGTCTCTGGTGAATCCTCTCACCCTCCACATCTCTGGCCTGTACCCCAGTTCTGTATGAATAAATAAATAAATCTTTAAAAAATATATCATTCAAGTGATGTATTAAAATATAAAGCAGAAAGTTCATTTGAAATCCTGTCAGCTAAGAGGATATTATTGGTTTAGGGACCAGCTTTTCATGTGTTATATTAGGTATATGTATGAACATGAGATGATTTTATACAATGGGGCTCATGTTTTCCATGTCAAGGTTTATTCTGGACAACGATTCCTTGGTTCTTCCTCTCTGTATTATCACTCTCCTCTCCTCCCCACACCATGTTAACAACTGTATCTGTTTCTTCTACATTTGCTGCTATACTCACATACAGGTTAATATATGTACATGCAAATACATTGTCATACTAGGCATCAGTTCTCACCATTTTTACAAAAATGGCTCATATTCCAGTGTTCTTTTCTTCTACCCTTAACAATAATGTCGTACTGGAAACCTCCCTAACTCATTGGATATAGCTCTAATTCATCTTTGTAGTAACTGTACGATTCTGTGATATTGATGTTATTTAAAATGGATGAGATCAACATGCAAGGGAGTATAGTTACAGGAGATGAAGTCCAAAGGTGAAGTTTGGGCTAGTGTCAGAGGTAGGGGAGATGAAAGACCCAGTGAAAGCACTAGGCAGAGCCATCACTGAGGAGAGAGAGAAACACAGTTTGTGGCATCTTAAAAGCCAAAGGAAGAAAGGGGAGAAGGGATCATTTAAGATAAATGCTCTGGTAAGATCTAGGAGGGTGAGGACTAAGAATTCACCATCAGGTAAACACTAGCCACAGCTATTATTGATCTGACTTAATCTCCATGGTGACAGAGCGCCATCTTGGGATATTTCAAATTTCAGTCAGTCATTCTTCCCTTGTCATATCCAACAATTACCTGTTGCTTTCTCCATTTCACTGGAACCTGGGTTGAAATGCCGCCTTTAAAGACTGGCTAAGGGCCCTCCCTGGTGGCAGAACGGGTTAGGATGCAGCACTGCAAGCTAGCCACAGCCATTCCAGTGCGAGTTCGATCACCACTGGAGATGATCCACATGGTGTGGCAGACCTCTCCTGACCACATGTCCACTGCTCCCCTCAGCCTGCCTGCCTACTCCCCCTCTGTCTCTGGTGAAACCTCTCACTGCTCCTGCACCTCTGGCTTGTACCCCAGTTCTGTATGCATAATAAATAAATATTTTAAAAAAGAGAAGTCTAAGAAATACTGTCTAAACTGCGGTCTACACACTGCAGTCACCTCACCGCTGGCATTTGTTCACACTCATGGATTCTAAAAACAGTTGCTGTAAAGTATCTTTCTAAAATACCCCTTCAACTTTCACAGTCTTAAAATTTATGTCACTGCCTCATCTAGAGAGCCCTGAGCGAACAGATCTTCTCTTTCATCTTTGTCCAGCTGCTGCTGACTTCCACATGCCCACCCCCTTCTTTGCTCCCCACCCCCACCCCTAGTTCTCACTGATTAATTGAACAGGCTCTGCAATCCCCCCCACGCAGCTGGATCTGCTTATCTGTGACAAAAGGCCAGTTGCCTTCACACTGGTTTGAGTTTCTCCTCCACCTGGAGACTGTCACAGCCTGGCCCCAGCCTGCCCCACTCTTTCTGCGTACAGACTCCTAGGTCTGCCCTCTGACACCACTCTATGAGAATTATATTTTCTCTTGTTTTAGTGGGAATCATCTTATGTTTTAAAGCATTTTACTCTAATAGCAGAATTCAATGTTCTTTGTTAAGGGAATCCCAAGTGTGGGGAAGTAAGTGGGAGACAAGGTGAGGCAATGGCTTTATTTAACTTCATCAGAATCTGCGTTTGGTTTAGGAAAAATCCTCCACACAGAGACAGCACAACACTTCTCTTTTTTCTCCAAGACATAAAACACTGTCCTAGCTTAGATCTTACCTACATTAAATGCTCTGGTCATGTAGTGTCCCAGACAGCACCTCCCAGTTATTCGTGGGGGTGAGCCACATAATTCTCAGTGTTTCCAGGGCTGGGGATTGTCTCCTTGAAGAACAAACTAGGGTCTGTAGCCCTTCTGTTGCTAGAGGCCTACTGCTGCATGGTCAGGAGGACATAGGAGGCTGCTTCTAGGACCTGAGATCAAACTTTCTCTCCCTTACATTAAGGGCAGACCACGCAGCTCCTTCTGATTCTAACCCACCTGCATGTCTAAAACATAGGGACACATGATTGTATCTGGTATATCTTCCTTTAATTTTGTGCTTAGTAGTCTTCTTACTACACCTCTTTTTGTCAAGTATCATTTTGTTTTTTTACTTCCATTGACAAATGTCTTGAAAACAAAATATTAGCATCAGTTTTCTATGTTATCAGATATAATATTAAAAATCTATAACCAGAATGTTCTAAAAATCTGTTTCTAATGCATTCTCTGTGTGCCAAGGGTTTCTTTTGCCCTTATTTTGGGTAAGTAGTTCAATGTCTTCATAACTCTTTGCTACCTCTCCTATCATTCTGTCATCCTGGCTCTTTATTCCTTCTCTTATTCTCTGCTTATTCTACAAACAAATCCCAAGCCTGTCCCAAAGAACAAACCTCATGCACTGGGCCACAGGATACTGTCCTAGCCTTAGAGAACTCACAGGCCAGTAGCTGAAATCAAAAATATCGAGGAGAACAGTTTATAAATATGCTGATGTCCATGTGTCCTGGGAACCTGGCTGATGGTGTGATCCTTTCTGATTAGATGAGACAGCAGTTGGGGTGAACTGGGGAGGGAAGGAGACAGGGGACACAGGAGGGTCTTCAGAGTAGTAGTATCTGCACTGGGACTTAGTTCAGAGACCTTTGACAAGAAAACAGGAGGATGTGGAGGGAAACATTTTACAGAGGAAGTGGCATGAGGTATGAAAATCTGAGAGGGACATAACAAGTGGTCAGTGGAAGTGAAGCAGGGGAGAAATGGTCAGTCAAGGTCGGTGAGGCCACATTTGCCCTTTTATCCTGTTCCAGAGAGGCTCTATTGTGCTCACCTTGGTGACACCTCTGGAGGTGTTCACAATGATAAGTTTTATAAATATTATGCATTTTATACAACATGTGTGTGTATCATCTTACATATTACAAAGTGTTTCCACAGAATGTTACCTGATTTTATTCCCACAGTAACCTAATAAAACAGGGTATTAACAGTATCTGATAATTGTAACTTCACAGCATTGTTGTGAGGAATACAGGTGATCAATTTAAAGGATTTGAAGTAGATTAAATGGGGTCTCCAAGAGCTATACTGATGTTCTAATCCCCAGAAATTTGGATGGTACCTTATTTGGAAAAAGGCTCTTTGCAGATGTAATCAAGGATCTTGCCATGAGCAGACCATCTTGGGTTATCCGATGGGCCCTAGATGCAATTTCAATGTCTTTATAAGGCAGTGGAAAATGTGAGACAGAAGTGGGGGAGCAATGTTACCATGGAAGCAGAGACTGGAGTGGTGAGGCCACAAGTCGAGGGTACCCCCAGCCCCCAGCAGCTGGACGAGATTCTCCTCTAGAGCCACCCAAAGGAGAGCAGCATGCTAGCATCCAGAACGTGAGAGAATAAACTTCTGTTGTTTTAATCCACCAGTTTGCAGTAATTTATGGCTGTCCTTGGAACTAATCAGCATTTAAGATAATAGTTCAATAACAGTTGGCTCATCAACTCATTCTATTTTTGAACCAAAGTTTGGCAGTGACACATCAGTCTCACCTTGTAGTCGGTGACACTTAAAACAACAGCTACAGAGTGGAGACCCAAGACTGGGTGGGAAGATTCAACATCCAGAGGAAGGAGAATTCTGGAGGTAGATTAGTGAGAGCTGGTGACCAAATTGTGATGGCAAAGAAGCTTCCCCCCTTCTTGAGCATCCAGGACCCTTCTCATTGAGCTTGCAGTCTAGAGGACAAGAGTGTAATTTGGTACATTTTGAGTTTGAGAGCCTTCTGTGATATCCAAGTGGGATTGTGTGATAGACAGTTGAGTGTTTTAGTCTGAAGATTGAATATCCAGTCAGAGGTAAAGTTCTGAGAGTCACTGGCACCCTTGTGCAGTCCCAAAGCCCTGTGGCAGGATGACCACTCATGTAGAGGATATAAACCCAGAAGAATAATCGTGGGCAATACCAGATGGGAGGGGGTGGCGGGGTGGGGAAGGGGGTTGACAATGATAGAATCAAGGACAGTGGCTGGAAATAGAAAGGGAGGAGATTCAAAAGGACAGTGGGGGTAGGTAGGGGAGCATCCTGGATAGGAAGTTCACCCTCTTCTGTCTCTCCCCTTTGCTCTGAGATTATCTAGAAACTGGTTCTTACAAATATTTTTTGTTCTAATGACATTTTTATTTTCTATCCTTAAATTACAGGGATGAATGGACTGAAAATATCCTATTTCATTCATTCTTTGGGGACTATAATTCTAAGCTGTTGCAACTGAACAGTTCTCACTGCTCTATAGCCACAGTGGAACCACAACTACTCAGCCAGACTGCCGTGTTGTGTTATTACTATCACAGAAAAGGCCAGGATGGAGCTGAAGGAGTCACAGAGTAAACATGCCATCAGCACCAGCATGCAGCTAGACTACTCTCCCCTCCATTGACACAAAAACCTGGGCTGGGAAACCTGCTGTATTTGCATGCAAGATTAGTATTAAAAGCATTACACCTAAATGCGAAATCATTTTGAAGACCAGCAAACACTAAAGCTCGGTGAACACCAGTCATCACTCCCATCCTGGGGCAATAGCAGTATCCTATACTGCCATAGTCAGGAGGGGGTTCTCTGCACACCTCCTTGGGGGTGGCTCCCTGTGCTAGATAATTTGTCCTTCCCAGATTCTGTCTGGGGATCACAACTACAGCTGTTTCTGTTCTCTTCTTTGCCTTTAACCTTGATGTCTAAAAAGGCACTAGTAAATTCTTTGTCCTGTTCTCTCCTAGCCAGGTATGTCTTAGGTGTGTTGTGTTAAAAAAAAAAAAATCACCTGAGCTGTTTAGGGAGGAGTTTAGTAGCAAGTTTGGCGAAGGTCTGGAAAGGGGCAAGGTCATAAATAGCTTCTCCCTGACGTTCCTTATACCGACTAAGGTCCATAGGAGGGAGGCCCACACACTGAAAGACCCACGCAGCCAGTGCTGCCGCTTACTCCTTGTGTGTGTGTGGGGGGGGAGGGAACCCTCTCCCGCTCCCACCCGGAGGGCTGGTTCCCAACCTTACTTGAAATTTTCTGGCAGCAACATTGGGACGTATCTGGAGTCTCCAACCCAGGCAGTGCCATTCTTTGCCCAAAGAGGCTCTGTAAGAGCCCCCAGCTCCAGCTGGACCCGGTGCTGAGGCGGCACGCTCTGGTGCTTTGTGACGCGTCGCCATGGAGACGCGGATCTGTTTGCAGTTCCGCTGAGGCGAAGGTGTGAGCAAGAACGTCTTCAAATCCCTAACCAGGTCAGGGGCTACAGGGGAAGCGAAGGCAAAAAATCGCCTTTCCAATGACATGGATGCTTTACTTTCATGTATTTGTATAGTTTGGAATAAATTTTCCTGTGCATTGTTTTATACATTGGGAAGAAGAGCAAAGTGGGAGTATATTGAATAGAACTTAGATTTTCAACTGCGAATTTTTCATCTATTCATAACTCTCAGTTTAAGTGAATGTGAGTAAAGTTGTCAGGGATTTTGCACTAATTAGGCAGCAAGCAGGAAGACAAAAATCACAAGAAATCTTGTATGAATAGAACTGAACCGGGATTTCCAAGAGAATTTCATGCTAGCAAGCTGGTCATCCCTAAAAAGGGATGATAACAGGCAGGAAGATAGAAAATGTGCTTAGAAACAGGAGTGGTCAGAGGTATTTGTGATGCCTTTCTCTTCACCAAGCCATGTTCCAGACGCCGACCTTAGTATTTGGAGATTGTTGACTCAATTGTTCTTCTACACCTCTATATGTCAGTTTTCCCAGAATGTGGAGATTTGATATGGTAAATAATTTGAAATGAAATATTATTGTCTTACATTCTGGTTAATTTTTTTGACAGTACAGAAGAGTTCTCCTTCAGGCATGTAATAAATACTCGCAGTTACAGGTAATAAATACCGCCACGGTTACAGGGCACCCTAGTGTGAAATGGGCTGCCTGTCTGTGGGTTCTCACCTGAGCACTTAAAATTTAATTGTACTGGACACACACAAAAGGGTCATAACAGGTTTATTTACAAAATGGGTAAGGAAAAGGAATAACCCAGGGAAAGAGAGAGAGATACTTGTAAGGGGAAAGATGTCCTAAAGGAACTCTGCAGAGTCTTATGGACTCCACCTTCTACTCCAGCTTTCTGTAGCCTACACCGTACTCCAGTGATTGGAAACTACAACTCCCAGTAGTACCAGGGAGAGAACTGCAAGGACCCAAGGGCAGAGCTAGCAGGAATGAATTCTGGGACATTTGGGGGGATAAAATAGGGCACAATTGCATCTCGGGCGTTCTGGCTCTCTGGCTGGCTAGCTCGCTCGGGAAACAGCTCTCTGGACCGCGTGACTTGGTGTGTTCAGTCAGCCTAGCCGTAAGGTATTCCACTTACTTTGTATCCTGCTCTCTTTCCCTGGGTTGTTTCCTATTCCTTTCCCCTTTTTGTAAATAAACCCGTTATTGACCCTTTTGTGTGTCCCTGCAGTGTAACTGAATTGTGAGCACGCGGGTGAGGCCCCACAGACAGGCAGCCCAGTCCACTCTGGGCTACCCTGTAACAATACAAGGTAACCAGAACTTCTTACCAGCTGAGCTGACTTGGAACTCCAGTAACCAGTTGATAGCGCCCAGTCACACAGTCCAAAGAGAGAGGCGTTGTCCCAGAGAGTGAGAGAGCCGTTGCCCGAGCCCCAGCCATTGAAAATCACTCCCTACTTATCCCCCAAAGTCCCAGAATGCCTGCTTAACTCCGCCCTTGGTCCTCACACTTCTCTCCCTGGTACTGCTGGGAGTTGTAGTTTCCAATCACTGGAGTAGGGGGTGGAGTCCACAAAACTCTGCAGAGTTCCTTTAGGACATCCTTCCCCTTAACACCACTGCCAAGCATCCATAGTCCTCCATCATAGTCCACGTACTTGTTCCCTCTTCTTTTCTCTCCCATTCTGGATACCTCAGGTCTATGGTCAGTTTTCAAAGGTTGGTTTTTGAGTTTGTTTTTGTCTGACCCTTGTGTGTGAAGATAATTGTATCTTCATTTTCTTTGCAACTGCCCAGTAAATGGACATACAGTATACTTAGTAACGCTGACTGCTTCCTGATTGGGATAAGCTATTACCCACTTGAGACCAAAGAGAAGATAGTAAAAGTGTATTGGAGGATACAGGTGCAGTGTTTAGAAAGCAACTTCCAGCCGTTTTATCTGTGAAGGGGTTATTCTATCACAGAAACTTGGGTGAACAGTGTAGTGTAAGATAGGGGAGAGTATCAAAAGACAGTGTAAGCATCTTAAGGTAAGAATCCCAAGTAAATGTGCATTGAATTTGTTAAAAAGGAAGCACTAAACTAGAATTTTCTGAGGGTAGAGTCCTAGCCATATGATGGAATGAATATAACACATTTTAGACTCTCAGATTTTAAAGCAATGAATGGCGGAGTACATGAGAACACATCGACTTCTGTCGATGATATTAAAAGGAATGAGTCTAAATTAGGATTTGGTAGTGGCAGCTAAATTAAGAAAGTAACACCCAATAACATATTACTGTCTGGAAATGGTAGAGCTAATTAGCATAGCATAATTGAAGAGAAATGTATTTTTAAAATGGAGCAGTGAGTATATAGAATTTTAAAAGTGCATTTTTATTAATATCTTCCATTTGTCTCATCTCAGGCAGGCTGTGAAATGGTGGGATACTCACTGCGTCAAAACCAGAGGATTGTACTTGTACTTTCTACATGGGGAGCTTGGGGTGAGGTAGCTTCTCTGAGCCTCCGTTTCCTGATCTGTAAGCTAACCTATGCTCATTGTCAAGTATAAAGAGCAGGTGAAGAGGATAGAAAAGAGGACAAAAGAGAAAGGGGGAAAAAAGAGGGGAGAAATAGAAGCAGAGAGAGAGATTGAGATTGAAATTGAACTTCAAGCTACATAAGAGGGCAAGGCAGGTCTGCTACAAGGGTGGGAAAGGCAGGTGTGCTAGTGTGCTTTCCGCAAACTGAGTTCACCTCTCCCAGAAATCCTATGAGAACTGAAATCTGATTCAGTAAGTTAGGTGGGGTTCTGTATTTTTTACAAGATCCCCAGACAACTTACGAAGTTTGATTGATGGATCTATAGGCTTGATCCAGTAGCTTAGGCCTCATCTGGGAGGAGGGCCTCCCGGGTAGTGCAAATGGTTAAAGTGCAGCACTATGAAACTGTTTGCAGCAACAGCAACACCAGTTCAATACCCAGATGGCACAGCAGACCGCTCCTGTATCACCCACTGCCCCCCTCAGCAGTGTATTTCAGTATATCTGCTTGTTCTGCTCCCTACTCTGTTTCTGGTGAATCCTCGGAAACGGCCCCCACCCCCACCCCCACCCCTCTGGCCTCTACCCCAGTTCTTATATGCATAAATAAGTAACTCTTTAAATAAAAAAAAGAAATACAGGAGTTCAATCCTACTGAATCAGAGCCTGCAGCTTCACAAAACCACCAAGAGATTCCCAACTCATTCAAGTGTGAGATGCTTAGCTCCAGAGATTTCATAAAAGGTGAAGTTGTTTATAAGCAAGAGGGAAAAGAATGAGAAAGAGCTGATGGGAGAATATAAAGAGCAAACCAAGAAAGGATAATAATTGACAAGGTGGTTGCTTCCAAAAGTCCAGGAGATGTCAGAGGTCACAGGTAGTTTACAGTGATGCCCAGGGACTTTGAACATTGAATGGAGGATCTCTGGTTTTTTGGCTTGGTTGTTATATTTGAACAAAAGAATTTCTATTGCTATGTAGTATGCAGTGCTTTTATTCAAGGGTCTTCATGTCAAACAAAAAAATTATTTTCTTCTTTTAGTTGATTGATGAACACATAAAACATTTTATGATTTCTGTGATGAACTCTACCATTGAGTGTTCTCTAGAAAAACAGAACCAATAATATGTGTGTGTGCTTCTTTGTGTGTGTAGAAAGAGAAATCGTTTAGGGAATTCACTTCAGTTGTGGAACCTGGCAAGTCCAAAATCTGCAGGGTGTAACAGCTGGCTGAAGGCCAGAGATGCTGCTGCATTTCAGGTGGAAGGCCATTTCATGGATTTACTCTTGTTTGGGAAGGTCAGTCTTTTGCTCTACTTAGGCCTTTAACTGATAGCAGAGGCCAACTCATTCTGTGGAGAGCAAGCTGCTGTATTTACTGTAGCCTACCCAATTCAGTTGTTAATCTCATTAAAAAACACCTTCGGCCCTCCCTGGTGGCGCAGCGGGTTAAAGCACAGCACTGAGAAGCTAAAAGCCACTTCCGCATGAGTTCGATTCCCGCCTGCCACGGAGGTGACCACATGGCGTGGCAGACCTCTCCTGACCCGCCCCC